GTTTCTTTCCACATCTTGGCAAGCCTAACTTTTATGGTCATCATTGCTCTCTGTTTCCTAGATACGCCTCCTCCTGTCTCACTCATCCCATCACCACACCCTGTTTTCTCTCCTGAAGTTCAGAGCAAAGAGGAAGACAGAAATTCTATAGGAGACACCTTGGGCATAACCCTTCTCCCTTTCTTTCTTCTCTGCTTTCAGCCTACTCCTTCCAGCTTCCTTGGGCAGTACCAATCCATGTACTTTAGATATCAGCTCCTGGGGATAGGGGCATCTCTGTTAACTACAGAGCACCACCCCAACTCAGACCCTGGAAGAGCAAGCAGGCTGCACTGGTGCAGAAACTGCAGCTCAAGGGTCAGACGGGCAGTGGCCACAGGACCTGGCTGGTATATGGGGAAGCTCAGCAGAAGCAGCCCCAGGGGCATTGCTCTCTGGACAGCATTTGCCCTATGTTCCTTTCAGTTGTGTCCTCCTTGATCTAGACATACTGTACCATGCAAACCCTGTACCTTGGCTCCTCCACTAGCTCTTTTGGCAAGATAGATCTTTCTGTTCCTATCAATTCATGGCCATGCGACAGGACTAGATGGAAAGTGAGGTGAGGCTGGTAATTTGACGTGACAGCTGATATTGGGTCTAGACTGCATTTCCCAGTGGCCAGGGCTTAGCTTCACAGAGCTTTTAAGAGTATTTTTAATCCCCAGAAAATAAAACAGAAACTAAACCTGACTGTGTGCTGTCGCCTCTGCATACTCGGCTATTTTTACTTCCGACAGACTCGGCCTGGGTCCAGCTTTTAAAAAAAGCTGGAATTATTTTACTTCCATTAAGAAAAAACCCTGAAAGCCTGATGTTATCAAGTCAGCAAGGGGACATCTGATCCCAAAGTTGTCGGCAGACGTCTCTCTGAGGGGCATGTCCGAGAAATGCAGGGAGCTTGAATAGATCAGCAGATCAGCTCTACCACTGCAGAGGCTTGGTGCTGGCACAGACCTCGCTGCAAGAGCACTTGGAACACGAGTGGCACCCACAGGACGCTTAGAAAACTGACATCTCTACCCCAGGCAGGACGGTGAGCCGAGAAATCCTGCACAAGTCCTCTCTCTGCCCTGCTCCCTGCTAGATCAGAGGGGGCTCAGCAGGCTAGGAGCTGAGAGTGTGCTGCCAGTGAGCCAAGACTCAGACCCTGTGGCAGACACCTGGGTCAGCACCTAGGTCAGATGGGGTGCTAGGACTCTTATGCAGGGTCAATCAAAAGGTAACAAAATTCAGTGAGCATCAGCAACATCAACACAGGGGAGCAAGAGGAGAGGGATGTTTCCAGCACAAATAGCCTTCATTTGATGAAGAAGCAGCTGCTAGAAAGGTAGGTTATCAAGGGATGATACTTCCCAAACTTTGCCCTGTACTGTTGCATGTCCCATTGTGTATGTAAGCACTCCTTTCTTTACTGTTCTAGCAACCCCTCCTTGCTGATACTGTCAAGAAAGGAGGTCCAGGAATGCTTATGGTGACAATTTTGTAGAATGGGTGCCTTCTTTCTTGGGAAGTGGTGAGTTGTGATCCATGTGAGAAATGGTTATGTCCAGGAGCTGGAAGGCAACTGCTTTTTCTTGCCACTGTCTTGTGACGCCATGGCACCAAATCCTACTAAGAGTCTTCAGTATGGACCAGCTGCATCTTGTAAGTGGCTACTGCACCTTGCAGTTCAAGCTCAGGAGGCTGCACGTTTGGTGTGAAGTCGACCCTTTGGGTTACAGTGTATGTACCACTCAGCCTTGCTCCAGCCCTCTCTCTATCTCCCTTCTCCTTACACTCTCTCACTTCCGTTCATATCTTAGTTTACATTCCTCTCAGTTTCTTCTCTCTTAGTGCTTTCCTTCACGCTGTTACTCTGAGTTCACCTACTCCATTTTAATATCCTTTAGTGTCCCGCATTGTAACCAGATTGCCTATCTTAAAATCAGCCACTGAGGAAATCAAAGTAGAACAGCAGGTACTAACAAGCCACTTGAATACCACAGCTCAGTACCAGGTCCTGATTTCGTGCATGCCCTTCCCTTCCATCTAGGTATGACCCTTTGGGCTGTCAGATCTTTGGGGCAGGGATTCTGCCATGATGCTTATGTCTGGAGTGTCACACTCAGGGACTCAGATTGAAATGCTTTTGTTTGCTATAGCACCTACAGGTTGCTGGACTCAGCAACTAGCACTGGGATACGCTACATAGGGGTCAGCCTGTTCACTGGCTCTGCAGCTGAGCGATGATGACAGGGTAGGGCAGTGCCTCTGCAAATGCTGATGGAAAACATTTACCTCAAGGAGTGTCGCACAGGATGGGGAACAAGAGGAGGACAAACACTTGTTCAAAATTAACAAGCTGAAGTCCTTGGGCAAACAGACCTCTGCTCAGTGAAGGAAGGAGGGATGGAGGGTAAATCTCTCTGCATCTCTCTTATCTTTTTTAATGCACTTAACTCCTTTGTGTCCTTATAATCTGATTGAGGGTCCCTAATACTGCTACAACCTGTGCAGCCATCCCTCTGCCAAGCACTGGAGGATGGCATGCTTCCCCTTGGGAGAAGGAAATGAGCTCCTTCCCCATTTTCTCCCTACCCCTCCCAGTCTTCCCTCCCCACTGATTATCAAACTGCATGGTGAAAGCATCCTGGAGGCCTCTGTATTGGTTTCTCCTAGGCTGAGAACGGCATCTCCCCGCACTGACATCAGGCCCACTGGGGGGGGGGATTGGATTCTTCTATGACCTTTCTTCTAGGAAGGTCCTGGGGAGCTGAGATTAGGGGCTGAATTCCTGCAAGTGGAATCCTGTTCTGGATTCCTCCATAATCTTTGAACAGACCCTTTTAATTTTCATACCTGGTTCCTTGGTTTACTGACAGTTCCTGAAATTTGTATCTCTCCCTGCTCTCCTAGCTTATAGGTAGCTATCATTGATTCAACAGAGAATGGAGTAGAGGTCTTCTTTCCTAGGAAACCAGGGTACACTTACAGCAGGAAAGAAATCATGAATGGAAATTCATGCTTCATTCAGGACTTTATTAGTGCTGTTGATCAGGAATCTCCCTAGATAATCTCAGGTTCGGGATTCCCTTGATGCACTTTCTGAAATCACTCTCTGGAATACAGTTGGGCTCCCAGGAAGGAGTGTTGCCCACAGTGTTATGGGCAACCTTTTCAGAAACAGTACCATGTAATGATGGAGAAGGATGGTACTTATGCTTAGGGATGTCAGTGAATTCTTCACACTGGGTGAAAAATAGAAAATGGGGCAGGGGAAGGAAATCACTCAGTTTGATCTGAGTTCACCTATTCAGCTTCATGTTTTTTTCTCAGTGTCTGCTGGCCTCTCATAGCAGCCACTTGCAGCAGTTCCCTTACTCTGTAGAGCTCCAGGCCTGCTCATTCCTGCTTTTCCTGCTCAGTGGGAGCAGCAGGACTCTTAAAAGGAAGCAGCTACACAGTGTTAATAGCACCATGACTCTATGCCTCTCTCCCCAGACACCACAGCTTATGGATAATGCAACCTAGACCTCCATGCAGGTGTTGCTACTGCCAGTGAGATTTTGATTGTGAGTGCTGCTGGCCTGGTTGGTATTGCTGTGGGAGGGCTCTTGGTACTGTCTGTAAGTCAAGCGGATTTGAATGCTGCAGCCATGAAGAGTATCAGGATCTAGATGATGTAGCAGGTAATAGTTTCATGCGGTGCAAGCAGGGCTGGTGTGAGTGTACAGTAAAGCCTTTCTCTTTCCTGTGACATCGTAAGCAAATGGTATTGCACAGCATGACAGACCTGTCAGCAGACTGCAGGCTTTTTCAGGTGTACAAGTTGTTCAAAAAGCATCACTTCAATGCTGATTTGGAGTGTTTGCTTTTAGTTGTTTGTGTTTATGTAGTGGATTGATTGCAAAATATTAATGCCTTACTGGGATTAGTAAGTGTATCACGTAATTGCTTCCTGTGAGCAGACTGGATAAACTCATGTGTGTTTCTAAGGAAGTACTTGCATAGTGTAAACTTATATTTTTATTCTATTTGAATGCTTCTACATTTATCTTGAAAATTTGGGGTTTGTTTGCAACAGCTTTTTCTCCCAGCAAGACTGAGTTACCCCAGTTTCACAAAACTGATTACCCGAGATCATATGGCTGGCCAGAAATAACCTACAATTGGACAAATACCTCTGGCTTTTTTTCACTGTTTGTTTTTAACATAGTATGTTGTACTAATACAGCAGTTCAGCTGCTGCTCCTGATCTATTGATGCTGCTATGGTTCTTTGCATGGTGACAATCACTGATGCTTCCCAGTCACTGGGAACTGTTTTCAATCTGCTGTTTGCAGTTTGATTCACTGTGTTTTGAAAGACTTGAAACAAATTCTTCAGTGACACCCTACTTCAGCTTTATCATTGCTTGATTGTAGTAGAGGTTGTTTCTATTTGTTTTGGTTCTACTTTTCTTGCAGCTGCCTTACTTGATCAAGGCTGAAACATCTTTGTTGAATTCATAGCTCATAATCTATTTGCTATAGGTCACATTTTCAAATATAAACAGTGATAGGCCACAAAACATTTAACTCCTCATTTTTAAGAACAATCTAAAAGCTTATTTTTATAACTGCAGGTCTGATTGATATTTAAAGGGTTTTTTTTAAAGCAAGATCACCTAAAGGGCATTGAAGTCTGAAGCTTTTCATTTGCCCATCCAAACTGATGGTGATTCAAGAGTTTGAATAGGTTAATTTACGTCTTCATTAATGTTTTGAATAAAAGTAATGCTCCCAGCAGCATAGTTAGAGCTGGAGGCAGTCTAGCTGGTATTATTGGGATTGCTGGTTTCAGCTGAGATCTCAAGTGTTTGGGAGAGGGAAACTCCCCAGGGTGTGGGGAATGTCTTACTTAGCAATTTCTAGCATCTGCGTGTCAAGGTTCCCTATGGCACTAAGGAATCATGAGGATTTATCTTATTTTACCTGCAGGTGTTCGTCTGGATCGAGTCCGTGGAGGCCGTCAGAAATACAAAAGGAGACTGGATTCTGAGAGCAGCACTTATCTGAGCTTACAGATCCCTCCCCCAGCTAAAAAACCATGTATGTATTGGTCTTGAATTGAGGTCCTCTGAGCAACCATTAAGTTTCTTTTTACTGGTTTCCCAAAACGTACAGTGGAGCAGTTGTGGCTTCTGACTGCCCTGTCAGTCACCAGTACTGGGATTTTTTTCTAATGATCATAGTGCAGAGGTAATCTAGGTATAGCTGAGATACAGCTCAGGTACTGTATTCATTAATACCAGACCTTTCCTATGATATTATGTAACCCATTTAGTGATACTCTGATCTTTTCCTGTATCCAAGCAATATTAATAAAACTGGCCCTATGCTGATTTCTCCCTTCCATACTACCTACCCATAGTTCTCTAAACTTTTCCACAGTCCACCAGCTGCTTATTCATGCCTTCTCCTTCCCTTGTTGGACCTACAAGACAATGGCTGACAACCTTACAGTAGCTTCTTGCTTTTGTCATCGCTGTACAGAGCTGGTTTGTATCAGGCAGATCAATCATAACAGCCTGTGTATCTGCAGTGAAGTATTCTCCTGTTGTGGCCAAAACCATTTCTAAGGTCTTATTGGCTCTATAGTCATGTTTTATCTGAGAAGGTCCTTCTACAAAGGGCTGTTATGACACCTTATGTTATGAGAGTACAACAACTTCTCCTTTGAAATATGCAGTGACTAAGATCGTCTCCCACTTGCTGGTGGCTGAGCCAGAGAAGATTTATGCCATGCCTGATCCAACCATGCCGGAGAGTGACATCAAAGCCCTGACAACCCTCTGTGACCTGGCAGACAGAGAACTGGTGGTGATCATTGGCTGGGCTAAGCACATCCCAGGTAAACTGTGGGAATTACAAGGGTGTAAGTATGAGCAGCAAAGGGAGCTATTATTTATCACTGTGCATCAGATTTTATGTGTGTGTTCCCTGTGATTATGCAGAAGGCTTTGAGATTATATGATAAAGTTCTCTGTTTTACCTGGCATTGTGTGGCACAGCAAAAGCACTTGGGAAGCAGGCCTTGGGAGGGTATGGTGGGCTTACTGATTTTCCACTGCTAGGTCTGTTGTGTTTGTAGATGAATAAATGTTATGGCAGTGACCAGACTGCTAATGACAAGGCAGATACCTACCCTGTCTGTAGTGGACATTCTTGCCGAGACTCAGGAAAGCTTTCCCCATACTGGACTAAACTGGGAGGAGTGGCTGACACACCAGAAGGCTGTGCTGCCATTCAGCGAGACCTGGACAGGCTGGAGAGTTGGACGGGGAATAACTTGATGAAATATAACAAGGGAAAGTGTAGAGTCTTGCATCTGGGGAAGAACAACCCCATGTACCAGTACAGGCTGGGGACTGACCTGCTGGAAAGTAGTGAATGGGAAAGGGACCTGGGGGTCCTGGTGGATAGGAGGATGACCATGAGACAGCAATGTGCTCTTGTGGCCAAGAAGGCCAATGGCATCCTGGGGTGCATTAGAAAGGGTGTGGTTAGTAGGTCAAGAGAGGTTCTCCTCCCCCTCTATTCTGCCTTGGTGAGGCCGCATCTGGAATATTGTGTCCAGTTCTGGGCCCCTCAGTTCAAGAAGGACAGGGAACTGCTTGAAAGAGTCCAGCGCAGAGCCACAAAGATGATTAAGGGAGTGGAACATCTCCCTTATGAGGAGAGGCTGAGGGAGCTGGGTCTCTTTAGCTTGGAGAAGAGGAGACTGAGGGGTGACCTCATCAGTGTTTACAAATATGTAAAGGGTGAGTGTCAGGATGATGGAGCTAGGTTTTTTTCAGTGATGTCCAGTGATAGGACAAGGGGCAATGGGTGTAAACTGGAGCATAGGAGGTTCCATGTGAACATCAGGAGAAACTTCTTTACTGTGAGAGTGACAGAGCACTGGAACAGGTTGCCCAGGGGGGTTGTGGAGTCTCCTATGTTGGAGATATTCAAGCCCCGCCTGGACAAGTTCCTGTACTCTAGGTTACCCTGCTCTTGCAGGGGGGTTGGACTAGATGATCTTTTGAGGTCCCTTCCAACCCTTGGGATTCTGTGATTCTGTGACTCGTCACAGAACAAGTCCCATTGGGATGCAGGACATACTCCCTATTTCCAGTGAATCTCCAGGCTTCTGTGCTGACAATTAATCAGGGCAACTTACTTGCAATGTGACTGGCCTCAGAAGACTCACTGCCTGTATGATTGAGTGACATAGCAAATGTCTCACGCCTGCAGGTAGGATGGACCCAGGCTGAAGGAGCAGACATAGCCCTCAAGGGGGTTCTGAGGACAAAGATTTGGTCTGGAAAGGGAAAGTTCCCCCTCTTTCTCTAGTTCTCTCCCACCCCTGCAGAAACAAAACAAAACAAAGATAGGTCAGATTTGCTTGTGGAAAAGGTTGGCCAGGGAGCTTAGGGGATGTCCTTGAGGTTTACATGGCTGCTTTCCAAAGACTGCTTCAGAAGATTAGTGTGAACAGGTCACTACAGCTATCTCCTGTCCTCTGTCCCACTTTCTTGTGTCAGGAGAGTACCTGAGGCTCAGCCATAGGATCACAGGATTTAACTCATATTGTACATTGTCTGTGTCTTCCACTGCATGGGTTTGTGTTCCCTTGATTTGTATTCTCTTGGCCTTAAGTTCTTCCTTGTTTGATGAGGCATCTCACCACGAGTGATCAGACAGTTTACATCTCCCATGTATTTTGTTTCTCTTCCTGGCTCCTCTTTTGGCTTTTTGGTGGCTGCTTCTCTTTCAGAGGGAGCATTTCTCCTGTGAGTCAAGGGTTAGTGGTTTCCTGGGCTAGATGGAACATGGACTATTAATTATGTGGTGGGACTACAAAGTCTGGAAAAACTTTTTCAGGACAGTGTTTCTGAGTAGAGGTTAATCTCAGTGGTGCCCTTCTTACATGAGATCTGCAGTATCTGCAGAGATTATACCCGTCACTAGTGCCAAAATCCATCTGGGGCTGATTCATCACAAGTGGGGTTACAATGGTGATTAAGGAACTCAGCATGGATTGCTCTACTAACCCAGAACTTGGGGTGTTAACAGGAATGGTTTTAATACAATGCAATTAGCTGTTACAGCTGTCCAGTGAAGTGCTGTTGTAGGTTCTAACCTTGGCTGTGTCTGTTCACGCAGCATGTCCTGCTGGAGTTCTCTAGCTTGCAGCTACGGAATGAGCATGGGATGCTCAGCTCCAAGTTCATACAGAGTTTTCCAGCCTGCCATGGCGATGATATCCCAGAACAGGAGTATAGTAGAAATTACTCCTGCACTGTTAAAGGGGCTCTTTCTCTCTTTTCTGAAAGGCAGGACATACCTGCCATCATCTCAGTTTTCTTTTCGTATTTTCCTTTCCTGTCAAAGGCCCTGCAACATGGTAATAGCCATCAGCCTGGCACAGTTCAGACCAGCAGCATTCAGACCAGCAGCAGTATTATAACAGGACTGTGTGCACAGGAGCTTAGGGATTGTTACGCAAGGGAGCAATATTCAGAAACAAACATAGCAAAAGACTTCATAAAACTAGAACAAAATACTCTGCAGCTCTGAAACAAATATAAAACATACTGAGTTAGGCAGCAAGGGGGCAGAGCAGGGCAGGGCCAGGAGGCTGCCAGGTGTTTAGGTTATTCATGCCTTGTACTTCTGCCTTCCCAGGAATTTGAGCAAAATAAAATTGCTTCTTGTGTTCATAAACTCTTGGAGAGAGGGGGGTGGAGAAAAGAACAAGTCACAAATTCCTGCCATATATTCACACTGGAATTAGTAAAAACCAGTGTGATGTTAAAATCATACCAACCCTTTAGGATCCCACAGCACAGGTGTCAGCACAAACTCGCGCCCCACAGTGTTAGCAAATATAATCAAAGATACTCTTGTATGACAACAAGAAAGCATGATTTAATGGTGTTTAGCAAGTATTATTAGCTCAGTAGCCTTATTAACCATTAGCTCAAAAGCCATGCTTAGCCAGTGTGGAGTTATCCCCTTCTGTGTGAGACCCCCTCCCCACTACCCACCCTCCCCCCGTGCTAATTGTCTTTGAACATCTACCTTTTCTTCGTGCCTTGCTGCAGGGAGACAAGGCTTCTCTCAAGGGGTGACGATGAAGGCTCTCCCAGGGTAGCTGTTGTGCTGTTCTCACTAGGAAGACGATAGTACTAGCACAGAATGAAATATGGCAAGTGGAGTGACAGCAGCTGTGTCTGGAGTGGCCTCAGATCCTATAATTACATCTCCCTTTATTACCTCTGCTAATGGCCCTCCAGGATGACAGAAATGATAATAAATTAACAGATTATGAACTCCACTTGCCACAAATTATGTGACTTTTTTTTTTTTTAATTCTGTGAGCTCCCACTGCCAAACCACGGGAACAAAAAAAAAGAAAAAAAAGAAAAAAGACAAAAAATAAACCCCCTGAATGTCACATCAGCTATTGCAAATAAAGCAGCTCTTCTCAAACTGGCAAGGAGGGAAACATGCATGCAGCTCTGCTAGATAACAGAGGCTGTTCTTTTTGGGAGCCTAGGGTTAGCAGTGGAGCATTCATCACCTTTCACGATCACACCTGAGAAAAGCAGCAAGGAACAGATCACTAAGGACACTTTCTGGGTGCTGTGCCATCAAACAGCTTGGGAATGCAATAGGACTGGATTTTATCAATCCCTGGGAGCTGTAAGATGGTGCAGCAGTTGAATTTCACTAGAGGTTCTCCGGTCTTATAAACCTGTAGTAGCAAGCCTGTGTTTTTGGCCAGGTGAAATTAGCATTTACCTTTCCTGATGTTGAGATTCTTAGTGTGGAAGACTCCAGGTTGTATGGTCTTCCCTTGTCTGTGCTGACTGCAATGATATGGGCACAGTCCTCCAGCCCTTGCATTCTACATGTGTAAAACACTGGAGGAAAAGGGTCCCAATTCTGTCAGATGTTTCCAGTCAAGGCTTGGCACTGCAGCGCTCCCTCCTTCATGCCCTCCTGCTGGAGCTGGAGTCCTTGGCTACCTGGGAGTGCTTCTGGCAAGGGGCTTTCCCAGGTGGGTAGGGCAACTGCAGCTGGCTCTTCTGCTCTCCCTGGCACAGGACAAAGCATGGTCTTTCTTCTGCAGTTCCCACCTACCTTAACTGCCTCTGGGAAAGAGTGATTAACAGAGATACTACTGCGAGAGTTAAATACCTTTTCCTACTTTATTCTCTAGCAGATAAAGTGTCAGCCATGTCTGTCCTGGATCCTCTCACTCTATACTACATGACCGTTTCTCAATCTTTAACAAATTTCATTGGCAGAGTGCAGTGAGGCGACGGCGTAACCCCTTTTGTAATCCAGATGGGGAATGAAGATGCAGAAAGGCCACGTGACTGACCCAGAAACTGGACTTCAGGCAGCAGCATAAATGCTGGGCTGTTCTGTATGGTCAGAGCTAGGAGAAGGGTGACCAAAGGAGAGATTCCAGGTGCTGGAGAGTGACAGTGGCTGTGCACAGCACCATTCACCCTGTCTCAGGGCTAATCTTGTCAGTTCCTTTCTGCAGCAAGAAGATCTAGGGAGACAGAATCCCAAGCCTTTGAGCTGCGTCAGCCTACACTTGGACTTAGTCAGGAGGGCTACATTCAGGAGCAGTACATACCAGCTCCAAGAGGTAAGGGGCAGAACGACAAGGCAAAGGACAAGGCACCCCTGAAGTATTCACAGCCTGAGTAAGGTGTGGTATTCACCAGGTGCAGGACTACATGGAGCACTGGCTGTGCTGTACAAGGATCAGTCTTACAGCCATGGAGCTGGATTTGCGGCTCTTCTCCCTGGGAGCCTGGACTCCTCTTTAGCTGTTCCCTCTGGCTCTCCTCCCCAATGGTTTATTGATTCTTCCCTCCCACCCACTGCTCCCCTCAGACCTTGCACACACAACACGTGACAGCTGATTGGTATCTGTTAATTAATGTGGCCTGGGGCCTCTTTTCTATTCAGTGGCCTGATAAGGGAAATTGGATGTCCAAGGGCTGCCAGGCCATTATCACCCTTTGCTTCCCCTGGCAACACAAACACAAAACATGGCGTAGTGATAAATAAATACCACTAACCCACCCTTCTGCCTTCCCTTCCCCAGCTGAGATAGCGCAGATAGAAAAAAAAGAAGCCACAGTTGGTCAATATAGCAATCATCAGCTCTTTTGTTAATTGCCAACTTGATAACAAGAGAAATCAAATGATCATCATGGTGGCTGGCTATGAAGGCCCTGATGCGGGGCCAAGAACTGTGAGCAGGGAGGGCTGTGGGATGAAGGAGTCCTGCTGAGTCTAGCACACAGACAGTGGGGCTGGGAGGCTTCTGCACCGAGGCTAAAGAGCTCACAGGACTCTTGGTGAGCCCTGAGGCTCTCTCTGGGGAGAAAACTGGCAGGGGAGGTTGGTGGAGCATCTTCCCCCCCTCCTTCCACAGCTGAGGGGTGCCTGGTGCTCCCCTTCTCTCACAGCCCTGGGAATCTTTAGATACAAAGAGCTGCCAAAAACTGCAGTCCCTGCCTGTCAGTGGTGCGCAGGAGCTGCCTAGCTGCCTAGATGGGACCAACACACTGTGCTTGGCATCCCTGTCTGTAATGGCTATGACACAATGCCATCTCCCAGGATCTTTCATGGTCTGGCCTGCAAGGGTACCTGGTACATAGGATGTAACAGCTTGCTTTCCCACACACTTTTTTTCTTTACCCCTGAAGGCAGAGAGTGCCCCTGTGTTTTGGCCTCTCCACTTTCTCAAGTGGGCACTGGGGCTGTCAGGGTCTGTCTCGAGATTGTGCTTCCTCTGCCTGTACTTGAGAAGAAAGACTTGCTTCACTGCTGGGTGCTGATTCTGGTGCTGCCTGGTTTGGCTGTCATTAGGTCCTTGTATGGCACCATAAAGATATTTTCGACACTGGGCAAGGTTGTTGGCTGTGAGGTGCAGAAAGCTGATGGCATGGAGCTCAGGGAGTGATGAGGAATAGAAAAGGTTTCTGTTTATGCAAGTATTCAACTTTTGAATACATTTCAGTGCTCTGTTGTGGCAGGACCTTCTCTCACACTGACCAAATGAGAGATTGTGGTATGCTTGTAATTAAGGCCTTTGTCATTCCCTCCTATCCCATCAGAAGCCTCTGTCATTCCCTCCTATCCCATCGGAAGCCCTCTTTTCTGCCATGTGTAGCTGTTTTCTGCTCTTTGGTCAGCTGGGGCAGATTAACTAGGCTTCAGTACAAAACCACAGAGGAACAGTGAGCAGGATGATGCGGTACAAAATAGTTGCTGCTATAAAAGAAGCAGAGATGATTGAAAAGAGGTTGTCATTAACCTTGGGTTGCCATAAACAGTCAGATCATCAGGACTCTTGTGGGTGGGCATAGGAGCAAAGAGAAGAGTAAGGTCCAGGTGTGCTGATTGCCACAGAGACAGGGTCACTTTAATATTCTTTTAGAAATTATTTTTGACAGCAGCAGGAGAGTGCTTGGGATAAATCCCAGGGAAACCAAGGATCCCAGGCTCCTTGAGGCTCTGCTTCATACCCACTTGACTGTGTTTGTCCTTTGCCCTCTCAGGGTTCTCCAACCTCTCCCTTGGGGACCAGATGAGCCTCCTGCAGAGCGCTTGGATGGAAATCCTCATCCTGGGCATTGTGTACCGTTCCCTGCCATATGAAGACAAGCTTGTCTATGCTGAGGACTACATCATGGATGAAGAGCACTCTCGTCTGACGGGGCTGCTGGAGCTTTACCTGGCCATCCTACAGCTGGTGCGCCGCTACAAGAAGCTCAAGGTGGAAAAGGAGGAGTTTGTCACGCTCAAAGCTCTGGCCCTTGCCAACTCAGGTAAAGCCCTAGCCCAGTCACCGTTACAATCAGGGAGTCAAGGCCCACACTGTTATGTAGCCTGGGAGGTAACTAGAGACTATTGCCCAAGACTGTGTTCTGCCTGTGTCATGCAACATCCTCAAAGCTCTTCTCTGTCCACAGAGCAGGACCTAAGCTGGAGAGCAGGGAGAAATTAGGCTTGTTGCCACTAGAGCCTAAACTGTGCTCTGGCTCTGTATTAGAGAGTGGAATCAGGCAGGGATGGGGTGGCTTCTGGTTTCTGGCAGTAAAAGAAAGCCTGTGAAGCCCTTCTCCACTAGTGAGCTAATTCCAGTGCCATGAGTTCAGAAAAGGGGCTATAGGACGCCCCTGCATCCACTTCAGTAGTGTTCAGTTGGTCAGCTACAGCAAACAGGGAAACCTTGGTCCCAATTTTAAATCCCACAAAAAGCTGTGGGATTTGGGCTGCCCAGTCCTGTCTTAGAAATGTTCAGTGACCACAGACACTGAATCTCCCTTAAACTGGGAGACAGCGTGGATCGAGATGGTAGAGCGTAAGCCTATGTTGCCTGTTCTGTTTCCTCTTGTGAAGAGGATGAGAAAGCCCAGGGCTCTCCACCCAGTGCCCTCCATCTCAGTCTGGGGAGGGCTGCAGCTCTCAATCCAGCAGGCTGTAAAGGGAGACAAGAGGTGCTGGGTGCTGCACTGCTGTTGCACAAAGCCAGATAGCTATTTGCTCAGGACTCCCTTCCAAAAGGGAAACTGCTAAAGCTACTGTGTGACGAGGGCTCCCTCTACATCCCTTGAGTCTCACTGTCTCGCATCAGATCTTTCAAACTGCATCATGCAGGTCACAGAATTCACCCTTGCAGCCCAGCAGTGAATCCAGTATCTGTGTTGGCTAAAGCCTCCTTCCAGAAACACACCCCATGTGAAGCTGAAGGGATTAGAAGAGGGGGAATCTCCATCTTTCATGGTAGCTCACTCTAAGAATTAAAAGTTTTCTCAGTTAAAAAAAAAACCAAACAAAAAACCAAAAAACAAAACCACAGCAAAAAAAAATGATTCCTTGGCACCATATTTTTAATGTCACTTTGCCTGAGTTCACCTTCTAGATACCGGTCTTTGTTGAGCTGTGTGCTATGACCCCAGGTCTTCTTCCACCTGACTGCTTGACTCAATAAAGTTGCAGTTCCATAGACACATTCCTTGGCTATAGATACATTACTGCAAGCGTAAGCAAGTGGTCCAGAGTGCGTACAGCTGCCCTATCCCCACTGTTTTACACCATCCTGATCCTCTTTGCCTTCCATACATCTTAGCAGCAGCAATTGAAAAGAAAAAAGAAATTACTTGCAACTCATTGATAACAATGTTGAGTGGCGTCTGTTTCTTTTACTGACCCCGTGGATTTCCACTAGAAAACTCCTCCTTCAGGGATGATTCACCACTGATAGCGACTTTGAGATCTGTCATCTAGCCAGTTACTAATCAATTGAAATGTGCTTTATTGATATTGCATAGTGCTAATTTTTTAATGAGAATGCCCTGTGGTGCTAAGCCAAGTGCCTTATAAAAGCCTAAGTCTGTTATAGCTATGAAGTTAACTTTATCAACCAAACTTGTAATCTCATCAGAGAATGAAAACGTTTGTCTGACAAGACCTGTATTCCAAAGTATCATGTTGACTGGCAGTAGAATCACAGAATCATTCAGAATCATAGAATCACTGAAGTTGGAAAGACCCTTAAGATCATTGAGTCCATCCATTAACTTAGCACTGCCACGTCTGCCGCTAAATCATGTCCCTAAGTAAGTGCCACATCTGTGTGGCTTTTAAATGCCATCTTATAAGTCTTAATCGAAAGTCTGTCTTTTTTTTTTTTTTTCTTTATGTTGCCCTGGTTCACATCATGCTAGCATGGAAATCATCAGGTAGTACCTTGGAGAATACATGCATCATTAGAACTTTTCCAGTCATCTTGAATTGCTTGAAAATACCAAAACTTGTAAATCATTAATCTGCCCTATATGGGCCTCAGACAGCAAGTTCAGAACTCTTCAAGCCAAGTTATCTAGCTCTGCTGATTTCTGTGAAGTTTGTACCTAACAGATGTCTAAATCTTCTTGTATATAGGACAGACTAAGAAGTCTTAATCATTTTCGTACAGCATTGCTACATAATGCTACTTTTTTTCTAAATGGGACACACATCCTTACTGAGGATTTCTGTCTCCTTTGCACTACTGTTAAGAGTTTAATCATCTCCAGGTGAAAAGAGCCACCCTACAAATGGTCATTTTTCTTCTATTTCTTAAGTATTTATAAAACTTCTTTATTGTCCTTAGCCTTCCAGCCGTGGATTTTCCTCCAATGTCCTTCACTTCCCTCATCGATTTTCTATACTTCATAACTTCTGATCCATATGAATTGCTATCTAGTTCCCTTTTTCAGTTTCTCATATATTGCTTTTTTAGCTCTAATTGCTGCCTTCACTTTGCCACTGAACCAGGATGGGCAGATGGCCAAGGCTGGTCTCTCTCAATTGTGGGACGGTGGCTTGTGGTGATGCAATCAACTCTTGTTAAAGGATTTGCCTCCTGTCTGCCAGGAAGGTCACAGAATTAAACAGGGAGAAGGGCTCCTCAGAGAGGCTGAAGTGCTAAGGCGGTGGTTGTGACAGGATGACAGGGTAAGTGAGTGCCACACCAGGGCATTTATCTGGCCCATGCTATGGGCAGAGGCACTGCAGAACCTGAGCCTTGGTACTGTCATGTTCTTCACAGTGCAGTGGTAGCACTGTTCGCTGATGTTGCTCACTGTGCTTTCAGGATTAAACCCAGGGTAAGCCTTAAAGGACAGTTGGTATTGGGGGTGGAGAAACACTAAGCAAAGACAGACCCAGAACAACCAACATTTGTCAGGTAGAAGTAAAGTAGCCAAGGTAATGGTCAGAAGGCACAGGACAATGCATGTTCTCAACTGGATGAGAAAAGCCGTTCCGACTTGACTGGTTTCTCCTAGTGCATCTGTGTAGGAGTATAATCCACAAAAATCTTGCTTTGCTCCTGCTTTGTTATTTGTATTGAAACATATGAAAGTAAAGCACAAGATCTCATCTTTCACATAATTAAAGCCTCTCACAAACACACACATAAGGGAGCTAGAACAGAGCAAGTGTATTTTTCTAAGGTAGCTGTCACATTCAGCCTTCACATTCTTTTAATATAAATTATTTTTCTTACCATGTTTTTGACATGGAGTACACTTGCAGAGCCTGCATGTATGTGCTTGCATGCAAACAGCTGTTTCCTAGAACAGTAGGAATGGAATGCAGACTACCTCTCGGCCAGGCCTCTGCTCCCTTGGGTCAGAGACACAGTTTAAAGCTGATCACTTACATTAGCCCCTGTGCTGCCTAGACCTACTTTCTGTCTTGCCTCTTATATAAATTCCTGAATTTCCCTTACCCCTGCTGGGTGTAATTGCTCATACTTCTAGGGACCTTCCTCTCTTCCATGCAGCCCTGTGTGTATTGACCCTTTGTTTCTAGTGATTAAAACAAATGAAAACAGAAGTGGGAGCTTACTTGCTCTTTGCTAGAGGAGAAGCTGACAATAGGCTGACCTTGCCAGAGCTGTGGCTGATCTCTGAGTCCTCCATGTAATGCACCAAGGACACACCTGCTGGGACAGGCAAGGATCATTCAGATGACCTCTGTCTTTAGTAAGTGCAGTTTAGAGAGCTGAGAAATGAATTGTTAATGCCCAGAGAAGCAGGCAAGTCCCAACAATATGATCACTCATTTTTTGACAGAGTGGGGGTGCTATATAAACTGTTACCCTTCAGAGCCAGCGGCCCCTTCCTAGGCATTCCTAGGTCCTCTTTCTTCATGAAAAAAATTGATCAACCTGTGTACTGAAGAGCCCTCCAGGTTAGCATACAGCACATATTCATTTAAGGAAATCCCATACTGGCCAAACCTTATTTCCCTTCCCCCCCCCCCCATGTATTTAAATTCTGAGATGGTGTGAACAAGATCTGGATCTAGCAAGGGGATATGTACCAAATTCTGTACTAACAGGTCCTGCAACATCCTGGCTTCTCCTGCTATGGCCAGAAGCTGCAAGAAAAGTCAGGTGAGGAGGCAGTGAGCCTTGTCCATCTCACACCTGCCCTGTATCCCATGTCAGGAGTGTTGGAGAGGGGCTCCTGACATGAAGCCTGACTTTTAGGCTAGCTGACCCTCAGGGATATGGTTGGGCAACCTCCCTCCACCTCAGTGCTCCACCAGCTGTAAAAATTCATAGCTATTGATTTCGTAATTAACAGTTTATCAATGCCATCGACACCAGCTCACTGGTGAATTGCAGGGAAATTAATCCTGCACTGTTATTTTATTTTTTGCAGTCAGCTGCCGATTCTGAGCAAAGAGGGGGGAAGGGGGGCAGGCTTTGATCTTTATTATCTTTATTTCCCCAATTACTCTCCTGTTTACATCTAGTTATGTAGTGCTGTTAAGTCTCCTCACCTTACAGAAGTCAGGTGGCAGGAGGGCACAGTTCTGGGAGTCTCTTTGCTGTACAGCCACATCAGTACCCAAAACCAGAGCACCCACTTGGACCTGAAGCTTGGTTCATTGCCCGGTGCTTCTAGCACCACTGGCATCTGCAAACTCTGATAGACTGTGATTACTTTTTCGCTCACCTGGAAGGCCATTAAACAGAAAGGCTGGAGGATATTTCTCTCCAAGCTCCAGCTCTTGATACTTCCAGTCTCAAAAATTATCTTTGCAACTTTGCAGGAAAACAGGTCCCACTCACTTCTGGATGATGCACGGATATTTTCCAGAGGTGCTACCTGGCTGGGAGAAGTTGCCAGACTGACTTGGCAACATGCTTCTCCCTCCCTACATTTCAGAATCGAGCTCTCTGGCTAGCTCAGGCCACTGTGACGACCTGCTCTGAGCTTCTTTGCCTGATCTCTTGGATGCAAAAAGCAGCAAGAACAATCCTTTCTTAGTAGACTTCTTGGAAATACAACCCTTTAATATACTCTAATTAGTGCATTCTTTCTAAACAGCTTCTTAAACAGCTTTCTTGCTAGACATAATATTTTCCCAGCTGTTGTAATACTTTCTAAATTGTGCATGATAAATAGCATTTACCGTACATGTATGAAATTCACAGTATTTGCGTTGCACTCTCCATAGAGATGACAGTATTCTCTAGAGAGATTTTGATGCTTTGGCCAGCCTTCCTCCCCTTCACTGCTGCCACACTGAGGAGCCCATGTCCTCACATTTGTGTTGTGTGTGTGGCTGAGCCAGAGCACTGCTGCATTGCAAAGTCCAAGCTGCTGTGGCAGACAGTGCACGTGCATGCATGCTTGCCGTGGTGGCCCTTTGCTGCTGCCTTTGGATTCATTGTCCCATGGCAGCAAACTTGATCAGTGGGTTCAGTATCAATTAAAAGTCTCTGAACAATGATGACAAGGCAATAGTGTCTCCAGCTCTGTCAGGGTTGTAAGAAAGAAGCAAGTATCAGCAAGATGAAAAGGAAGAAAAGCTTCAGTGACAGTTAGGTTCTCTAATGTAGCCTCTGATCTTTGGTGCTGCCCTGTTACTCTGACTTACCTATGAATTTAGCAGCCTGTGTTCAGCTTGGGTTTCCCAGTTCAAACCCAGACTGGGTCACCTTTGCCTCAGCGACACACTAAGGACCTGTGCTAGCCTTGCAAACCCTGCTTGCCCCTCCAGCAGCTTGGAAAAATCTAACTGGCAGCCTAAGGGAAGGGGCCTTGCAAGACGTGTGGGTTTCCTTCAGTGAAGCAGGAAGCTCCCTGAGCAGCTGCTGGCAGTCTTTGAAAACAGCGGCATATGCACAGAGGTGGGGCTGGCAACACCCCTGGGCACACTGGTTGTGACCTACTGGGGCTTTTCTGTCTTGCTGACACCCTGAGCAGCTGCACGGCAATTAGGCCGTTTAGACAGATGAAGCGCTATAGCAGTGTTAATTATTCTTAATGAGATTGCTCCCAAGAGGCAGTGCAGCAGCTGCTGCCCCTTGCAGGGTGACTCTCCCCATAAGGAGCATGGAGGGCAAGTGAATGTGCAAGTCACAAAGGCCCCTGGCTGACCCCTGCACAGCTTTGGGGTAGCTGGCAAACTCGGCAGCACGCAGGGCACAATGTGTCACCTACCCCAGCAGCCTTACTGTCCCTGCACTGCTGCAGCCAACTCGTTGGGCTGATGTCAAACATCACTGCAGCAGCACCAACACCTGTCAGCAAGGTGCATTTTTTTTCCGCTTAAGAAACAAAACAGAACAAAACACACACACACCCAAAAAACCCTCAAACAAACAACAACAATAAAAAATCCCACCACCCCAAACCCAAACCAAACCAACAGAAAAGAAAGAGAAGGAAAGAAAGCATCTTTAGCTCCAGGACCATAAAGGGTTTCCTTTATCGTTCCTCATGCCTGACTTGTCTCTTTGCTGTCTTTTCTTCCACGCCCCAGATTCCATGCACATAGAGGACATGGATGCTGTGCAGAAACTCCAGGACCTTCTCCATGAAGCCCTGCAGGACTACGAGCTGAGTCAGCGCAACGAGGAGCCCAGGCGAGCAGGCAAGCTGCTCCTGACCTTGCCCCTCCTGCGGCAGACAGCCGCCAAAGCTGTGCAGCACTTCTACAGCATCAAACTTCAGGGCAAGGTTCCCATGCATAAACTCTTCCTAGAAATGTTAGAGGCAAAGGTCTGACAGCCCCAGCGCCAGCTGACAGTGGCCGGGGAACAAACAACTAGAAACAAAGATGCAGACAACGGAGCAATCCAAACAGCAGCAGCAGTCACCGCCGGCTTTTATCTCCAGTCATTTATTATGGAAGAATTATTTAATGTCTATCTGCCGGCGTGACTGCAGAATCTCATGTACAGGAGGGGGAAACTTTTAATCAGTCACCCGTTTCTCTTTTTTTTGTTTGTTTTCTCTGTGGAAAGTACCAGAATATGCTCTTGCACTTGTTGAGGCGGTCATCGGGGCTCAGTCCCACTGAGCTGTGATGCTCTCAGCACTGTCCAGGCCGCCTGCTCCCCAGCTCCCTCCACCTGTGCTTGAGGGGGAGTGGGAACAGAAGCAGGAAGAGAGGAAGAATAGAGTCAATATAAACATTATCTGCTGGTGTTGTGAGGGGTCGGATAGAAAGGGAAGCAGCCAGGGTCCTTCTTTTTGTCACCTTTCTGGCTCTTACATACAGCAGATGCTCCTTTGGAGAAGAGCACTGCTGGAACTCTGCTGATCAAAACAGCTGCTCCCAGGCCACCCCTCTAGCAACAGCTAACACTTGTACATACAGGCCCCACTTCTTACCGGGAAAGATGCTCCTAACTGTGTAAGATATTCTGCGACCTTGTACAGTGTGTCATTATGCCTGGCTAGTCCCTCCCATGTACAATCCCTGCAGGCCCCTGAAGAGGTAGGATATATGTCCCTGAGAGAATGCAAGTCTGCTTTCCCAAATGGCAAGGAAAAAAGAGTCCTATATGATGCCTCAGAGCTGGATTGACTTGATAATCTCTGCATCCTCTCCTATGTGGTGCTAACTCCAATTCTTCCACACTTTTCACCGTATAGTGTGTCAAACCTGCCTCTTCAGCTCAGCCGAGTGCCATTTCCCACTTCTTCCTTGTGGCAGAGAACACAAGGCTTTGTCTGCATGGTTACTGCCCAAGTATAAATGCACCCCAAAACAGAGCTTTCCTAGACCTCATTAAAGTGATAGCTTTTTGCCTTCCCAGAGACTTAGGCTTATTGCCAAATGCTAGTTAGGAATCAAGGGCACTGCTTTTTTGAGGAGGCAGCTCTTGAGTCTGAGAGATTGCTTTTTTTTTGTGGCAGCCTATGGAAATAAATTAGAGGATGGCATGAAACCCCTGATATCCCAACTACTGTCTTCCCCTGCCTCATCCCATTATCCTCAACAGCAGCAAAAGAGCTAGCATAGATAATACCTGGGCCTAGTGAGAGGTTTTCTCGTTGATGGGAAAGCAAATACTTGACTTTAAGGTGGTAGGAGAAGTGGGGGAATGTTTATTTACCTGTCTCATGTAACCAGGTTCCTGCTGTCTCCAAGCCTGGTTTAGATCTGCTGCAATCCCAGTAGCCAGAGGGGAATGTGGGTGACTGCAAAACTGGCTGTTGGCATTCTCTAAGATTTTTTCTAGGTCACTTTAGTTTTGACCCAGCCTGAGCTGATGAAACCTGAACGTATTGTCTGTTTTGCGGTCACTGGCATCGCAGTACCGGTGAGAAAAAGCCCTGTGATATACATTTGAGACATCACTAGCTTACTGCCTCTGTTCCCCTCAAGCTTTCCTAGCTAGCCCAGAAGAAAGATGGTGTGGCAGAGGAGTAGCTTGCCCCTGGCAGGAAGCCCTCCAAAGCAGGGTTGAGGTGTGTGATCAGGGAGGCACTGGGTGCTTGTTCTCTTCTAGAGAACAGTCCCTTCCAGTAGGGCTGTCAGTGCTGCAGAACAACACTCAGGCTAGCTCAGATGAGGGGCGATATCTGATGCAGACCTTTCAGCTCTTGTAGCTTGGTGCTTGAGTTGGTTCAGTTCCATCTCCTTCGAGTTTTCCTACACTACACAATTGTAGCTACTTCTATTCAATTTGTACTCACTTGTTGAAGGAATTCAGGCTTGCTTCAGCCACATTAGTAAACTAACAGAGACCTAAGGAGCAGAAGGCAGGTGGGAGGTGGGTCTGCTTCCATGATCACAGCAGTAGCAATTATACAGTTCCCTTATGCTTTGAACAGATACTTGTGCTTCCCTCCCCAGCTGCCTCTGCGAGGGAGCTGGTGAGAAAATGAGAGGCTTTTGGTTGCCTGTATCCATCTGTGACTGAAAGGGACCAAAACAAAATGCACACCACCACTAGAGAGCCAGCTCGCCATGTGCTGCACTCCGGCAACAATTCTGGCTCTGGCAGAAATGCTCTCACAAATGTGCCGGGTTGCACTATCACCTGTAAGTTTGACTCATTTGACCACTGTTGCTTCCCTGCCAAGTCCTACCCAGCTCGCCATCAGCCCATTGTGTCCCGACCTGCTGTGCAAAGATAGCTGTCCCAAAATAGAAGAAAAGATCCTAAAAAGCAATTCTTACTCTATTGGGCCCTGCCTGGAAAGGTCACATACTTACAAAGAAAAAAGGCTCTTCCAGCTTTGTTGTATTTGGACCCAGGCCTGCTTTCCAGAATGCGGAGGGAGAATTACCTACTGATACCTACTAAATAATGATAATGGAGAGCTGCAGAGTTAGCTTCTAGCCCACAGAGAATGATGGCTATTTAGACTAGGGCTGCGGCATGGAGGCAACTCCTGCCTTGGCAGAACAGTGTGAAGATACCAAATGCATTTCTTCTTCCAGGACCTTCTTTCTCCAACACAGTTGCATAACCTTGGAGCCCTCCTGGATATCCCTACTTCTTGAAGATAATATGCCTGGAAATGTTTGCATTGCTTCTCAAATAGGATGGGAACTGAATCAGACAGTAATTATCACACATTATTTCTTTAAGCAAGGAATGCAAACTCTCCCCCAGGAACTGGGACAAAAACATCTATTTAGATTTAGCCCTTAAAAGTCTTGTACTATCTTAAATTGTGAACCAGGTCAGCTCTATTAGGCCCTTCCACCAGTGCAGGAATCACGCGTTTCTCTTCCCAGTTAGTTATTCTGATCTGCTGTGCATCACTAATACTATCACGCTGCCACAACTGAGGAGTATGTCCAGCTACACAGCAAGCTGGGCTTGCAGAGGATGGGAACATTGTAGTGTAGTTCTCTCAGTAAACTTAGAAGTAGGAAATGGGGTGTCAGCAACTGCTTTGGTCTTTGAATACTCACAGTCTCTTAATACTGGGGGTGTGGAAGTTGAGACATGAACTAGGAAATGGGTCGGTGCTCTTTATGCTGTTCATTTGTAATCTAGGAGTCACAGAGTCAGCACCATACAGCTGTCCTTCTTCATGGTGTAAAAGATGATGGAGCTTGAGCCTTGGGACACAAATGGGCTCTATGACTCAAAGCAAAGCAGAAGAGGTAAGTGAGTGTATCAGTAACAGTGAATAAGCACGAAGCCCATGTCCAGCAACTACGGTAAAGCAGCCCCAGCCCCTAATTTGCATGTGCGGATAACAGAAACCACATACCTGTCAGCTACTACAAAAGGCAATTCTTCCCAAGTGACCAGCTCTTCTGTTTTGGGCACATTCTTCTCTGGGAACAGTGGTGTCTGGCCTGTAATGCAAACCAAATTTCATGGGGATCAATTAAAAGAAAAGGTACAATACCACACAGAATTAGGTTTCTGGGGAAACTTGGGCATTACACCTCGCGGCAAAACTGTGAAGCTACAAGAAATGCCCCCCCAGTGATCCGACCCTTGCAGTACTGCTTGTGCTGGGGGGTGGGGGTGGGGGGGTGTTCTTTTCTCCTTGCAAGCTATGTCATCCTTTTTTTAAAAACAAAAACCTAGTACAAATATATAAAATAAATCATGCTGCACCAGCAATATGTAAGCAGCTGTTAGAGGGGAAAGTCATTGAGAAAGACCCTAGAATGTAACTTGTTGAGCTTCTGTTACCAATCGGAGCTGAGGAAAAAAGCTTCCACTTTGTATCCACAAGCTATAATCAATCATACGGCCAAAGGCCACTCTGTTGTTCTTGTGGCTGGGTTATGTGGAGAAGCCAGAGAAACAGAGGCTGTGAGAATTATGCAGAGAGTTATAGACAGTCAGTGAAATAAAAAGTAAACCAGTATCTACTTAACTATTATCTGCTCCTAAATGAAAGAGAGAAAAAGAAAAAAACTGTTAAATAAATTGTATTCTTGTGGTACAGGTCATTTCAAACAAAACAGAAATAAAACACAGAATGTAAAAACTAACCCAGGCAGAGTAATGTTTATTGCGTTCAGGAGCTGCTCTGTTCTGTCCCTTGAGATTTCCCCACCCCATGGAAGAGGCTGGGGTGCCTGGAAGGCAGGATTTTCCATGCTGCAGTACGGGAGGAGAGCCCCAGCCCGCTCAGGAACACTAATCTGGTGTTTGCCCATAGCCAGAAAACAAACTCTCAGCAAGCTCCTCCATTTTTGTAAGATAAGCATTGCTGGGATCTCGTTAGACAGGCATGTTGTTGTCAGCATCTGCCATGGACTGGTCTCTTCTCCCTACGTTCTGCACTTCACTGGTGCAAGGAATAAAGATCAGCTAGTGATGAAAAAGCCTTGAAGTTGTTCCAGTGAAAAACAAAATCTCTAATCATAGAATAGACCACTGGCTGAAACCCAGCAGTGACATCATGAGTGTTGCAAGTATTACAGCAGCATCCATTGCTTATAAAGTGGGTGCAAGTGCTGAAGTCATGGCATTTGCATTGATGGTGGTCAAGCAGTGCAGGAAGGCAAGCTCATATCTGCTTCAAAAAGCAGAAGAAACACACTGTGGTAACTGGGGTAGAGACTTGAGAAACAAGGACCCCAGGACTCTGACTTTTGAGCACAGGCAGCATCACCCCCCATGTAAGCACCACAATCTCCATGTCTCACTTTTAGCCAACACTGAGGTCCTTGTTCCAGGCAGTGGCACTCACCAGGCAACCAAGAGGTGTCTCAGCCTGCCCTCAGGAGGCAGTGGCTGTGAATTAGTGGTGGCCAGTAGGAAAGGCCATGGGATAGAAAAGAGCTTGAATGAAAAAACAAGATAAGCCACCACAGTAGGACTTTAGAGCAGACTTTACCTCAGTTAAATATAGCACAGGAACAGCCAGTCTGTGGCTTTGAAAAGGGCAGCAGTTTTGACAAGTATATGTGGCACTGGAGCTACTGGTGTCACGAGATCAGCAAGGGCAGCCAGAGGACTGTGGCAAGCCCTGGCCCCACTGATGTCTTCAAACACCATTCATGGGACTTAAGGTTTCCTCAGTCCCTTACCTCTGAAGTAGCAGCTGTCTTCCTTACATATCCTGGGCACCCTTCTGCACTGCATAGGTTTTTCAAGGCTTTCCTTACATTCCTTACTATTGTTCACTCACTCACACTGGAATTAAATAGAGGGAGGGGGTGTCCTGATAGTAAGCACACCGAGGGAGCAGTAAGCACATTGGGAGAAACTGAGGGCCACCTGAAATTTCTTCATACAGAAAAGCTTCACAGGAAATACTAGAAAAATACTCTGTTTTCTCCAGTCCAGGTAGCTGAAGAGGGAAGGAGGATTCTTTACTAATCATAGGATCAACTCATTGGAAAAGACCTTTAAGAAAGGTCAAGTCCAACCCTTATCCCAGAGTCCACCACTATACCATGTCACTAAGGGCCTCATCTACAGGATTTTCAAACACTACCAGGGACAGTGATTCCACCACTTCCCTGGGAAACCCATTTGGTGAAGAATTTTTTCCTAATATCCAGTATATTACAGCTGCATATATATATGTATATGTATATATATACATGTAATATATATATGTATATACATATATATACATAGATGTGTATGTGTTATATTACATATATATATATGCATGTAGTATAATGGTGCAGCTTGAAACCATTACCTCTTGTCCTGTCACTTGTTACTTGGGAGAAGACCAGCCACCTCCTCTCTCCATCCTCCTTTCAGGTTGAGAGCAACAAGGTCCTCCCTGAGCCTTCTCTTCTCCAGAGTAAATAACCCCAGTTCCCTCAGCCATTCGTCACCACACTTGTGCTCCAGGCCCTTCACCAGCTTTGTTCCCCTTTTCTGGACCGGCTCCAGCACCTCAGTGTATCTCTTGTAGTGAGGAGCCCAGAACTGAACACAGGATTCGAGGTGCAGCCTCATCAGTGCCGAGTACAGGGAGATGATCCCTGCCCTGGCCCTGCTGGCCACACTACTGCTGATACAGGCCAGGATGCTCTTGGCCTTCTTGGCTGCCTGGGAACAAGCTGTTCATGTTCAGCTCCCCCAGGTCCTTTTCTGACGAGCAGTTTTCCAGCCACTCTTCCTCAAGCCTGTAGTGTTGCATGGGGTTACTGTTACCCAAGGATAGGACCCAGGACTTTCTCTTGTTGAACCTAATCAATGTTGAGTTCTCTAAATACATTTCTCTCCCCCAAGATAAAGTCATGTTTAACTTCTGGGATATGTTCTTAAGCTCCAAATGCTAAAACATGATTGTAGCAGTTGTTTGTGGCTAACTGAACATGAAATAAAATGAAAACGGACAAGATTTTTCTCTTTCAGGCTAAGGTATCACAGAGGGAATTAAAGCAAACATTAGTTGATGTAGAGAAAACTTCAGTGTTCAACTTCCCAGTACCAGGAAGTGGAGAGGCTGTGCTGTGTGCCTGGCTTTCTTTTGGTCGATGAGAAAATGAACATGAGCCGGCAGTGTGCGCTCGCAGCCCAGAAAGCCAGCAGTATCCTGGGCTGCATCAAAAGAAGCGTGACCAGCAGGTCGAAGGAGGTGATCCTGCCCCTCTACTCTGCTCTCATGAGACCTCACTTGGAGTATTGTGTGCAGTTCTGGTGTCCTCAACATAAAAAGGACATGGAACTGTTGGAACAAGTCCAGAGGAGGGCCACGAGGATGATCAGGGGACTGGAGCACCTCCCATACGAAGATAGGCTGAGAAAGTTGGGGCTGTTCAGCCTGGAGAAGAGAAGGCTGCGTGGAGACCTCATAGCAGCCTTCCAGTATCTGAAGGGGGCCTATAGGGATGCTGGGGATGGACTCTTCATTAGGGACTGTAGTGGTAGGACAAGGGGTAATGGGTTCAAACTTACACAGGGGAAGTTTAGGTTGGATATAAGGAGGAAATACTTTCCTGTTAGGGTGGTGAGGCACTGGAATAGGTTGCCCAGGGAGGTTGTGAATGCTCCATCCCTGGCAGTGTTCAAGGCTAGGCTGGATAGAGTCTTGGGTGACATGGTTTAGTGTGAGATCTCCCTGCCCATGGCAGGGGGTTTGGAACTAGACGATCTTAAGGTCCTTTCCGACCCTAACTGTTCTATGATTCTATGACGATTCTTTACAAAGCCCTTCTGTCCCACTGCAACGACCTGAAATGACACTGTGGCAAAACCAGAACATCTCTGCATAGGGAGCAGGATTAGCCCTGCAGTGTGTTGGGGTGGCTGGAAGAGACAGAAGCTGATAAGCATCTGTGAGGAGCTGGGTTTATAAAGCACAAGGATGGTTCGGCAAAACACAACAACCCTGATCCAAAACATTGCTACCAGCAGCCAAAACCAACAGCCTTTCTCCAAAAGAACTGCAGCCAGTGAGTCTCTACGTTAGTGCTAGTCAGCTCTGAGAGGCCCATCATGCTTCTGGTCCTTGTGTGCTTCCTTTCAGAGGGCTTGAGTGAGGCCAGAAGAGTCTTCAGCTCTGGGAGTAGCAGCATCCAAATAATTGTAAGTAGGAAGCAAAATTGTAACTGGCCAAAGGCTCAAGCCATCTTTCATAAGAAAAACTGAGAAGACAACAGGTACCACTGACACATCACGACTCAGGTGTCACTACTTCACCAAGCGCCTCGTTAAGCTAAATAGCCACGTGGTGACTGCAACCTTCCCTTGGCAGCACACACAGCACATGCAGAAACATCTCTATTGCTTCAGACCACAGACCCATTTAGGCCAGTGCCCCCTCTCTGCTAAAGTGGCTAGCAGCAGATGACCAGAGAAGAACATGAAAACAGGGCAAGGAGGTGTAAGTCTGCCAGTAGTTTAAGGATCAAAGACTACCTGAGCTAGAGATGATGCCTTTGCATTTAACAACCCCAATGATTTTTCTTACATTAATTTCTCCAGTCCCTTTTTTCAACCACAACAAGCATTCAGCTCCTGCAGCAATGAGTTCCATGGATCACTGCCCAAAGAAGTATCTCCTTTGCCTGTTCTGAACACGCCGTCAAGCTCATCCTATTTATTTCATGCTCCTACAGTTTGTATTAGAAGACAAAACAGTCTGCCGCTCACTTCTCTTTACCATTTACAGTCTTCTAGGTCTTTCAATTTCACTCACGGTCGTTTCTTTCCAGGGAAGAAGCCGAGCTGCCAGATACTCCTTCCCTGGGTATACAATGCACCAGTCAAAGTTAGGAAAATGTGACAATGAGGAAGGCAAATGGCTCCCTTCCACCACATGATCTTGATGCTTTAAAGACAAGTACAAAAACCTAGTACCTATCTAAGATTCAGTGACAGATGTAGACCTCTCTTTCTGTAGCTATCTACACACAAACATACACACTCATTACATCTTGTAGTTCTGCATTCACAGCACTACTAGAGTTCATATTTACCTTCAAAATAGCTTAGAAACAAGGTATTAGCCTTTTTAACCCATATTTTCCTAACAATAACAACAACAGCAAATTGGAATCCTTCCTCCTTTACATGGATGTGGTCTTTTCCCCAACAGATCATTTTTCTCCCTTTCATCCACCTGAAACAAACAGAGGAAACTAAAAAGGCACCTTGGCCTTTCTCTGATCTATTCCTTTTCTTATAACACAAAGGATTGTTCTAGAAATAAAGGATTTTAATGCATCCCTTGATGTATTAAATAAGAGATTTTTTTTTTTAATGCATTACTTCCTATTACACAATAAGAAACTGATTTCTGTTTAGAAGTCCCAGCTTGCTTAATTCAGAAATACCAGGCTTTTCTAAATGCTTAAAATCAGCACATTGACCATTCTAAAAAAGTCCCAGAATCAAGTGCATTATTTTGATGAATTAAATTACTTTACATCTTGCTCCTGATTTCAAGAAACCAGCACTACATTTTTCCATGAGCTTTATCACACACTCCTGACGTAACTGCAGTTGTTGAATAATAAAAGGCAGGGCACTGATCAGAGAAGGAGAAGCCAGGACAAAGCAAACTGAGATCACCGCCTAAACTGGCGAGAATCAACACAAAACAAGGCTTTTAACAGATTGGTTAAATCACAGCACATAAATCATGTTTTTGAGAGGGGTTAATTTACACTATGTGCTAATTAAGTCAAGTGAAATACACAAGTTATGAATAATCTCACTGAAGAGTATTACATTTGGAAGGAACATGATTTGACTGAAGCCAAAATTACAGTCACCTTCAATAATTACATTTCCAGCACCGTACATTTTTTCCATCACAACACTGCAAGTAATTTTGTATTAGCATTTACATTATTAAACTCCAGCACATTAACTAAACTCTTGTTTATAGTTTTTGTCAGTGGTTAATACTACTACAAATTGATGATCCTTTGGGTCAGTCCTAGGAAGCACAATTTCATCTGATATTTTTCAATCTAACAAACTCTGTACCAAGCCTGGGGTAATCACTCATTTCTCCCCGTTGTTTTGTCATTTCCCCCATTGTTTTTGTCATCACATCACAAAAGTACAGCAAGGTCTGAAGGGAGGGATACTTATGGGAAAAGCATTAGTGCAGGCATCAACTTCCCAAGGCACTATCCCCAGCTCTTCCACTGCCTTGAGCACTTCTAGCTCAGGCTCACTTTCTCTAGCTGCAGAAAATCCTACATTGCTGTTGCTGCTTTGCACATTTCTTTCCACCGTAGCTCCATGAGAGGAGGCACCTACTCTGATCCAGCTTGTTGCCCTGACTAATCTTTGATACATCTTTGTTCCTTCACTGCTGTGATAGTCTCTCTCCTGCCTCCTCCTCTTGTTGTGTTTCTGGCACACTGCCCTCTGGGTGGGGAGGCCACCAGTGAGCATTCAGTCCCCTGTGGCTGCTGACCCCACTGAGCTGCTCCAAGCCCCTTGCAGGATGGACCGTTCCAGCTCCCTTAAAAAGCCCTGTCCCTGTGGGTAGCAGCCAGCTCACTGTTCTGGACACCTTCCACTTGGAAGGAGGGTCACTCCAGGTAACCGTGTTACTGTTTTTCATTGGTGGGGCTCTGCTAAGATGTCCTTTCCAGTCCTGCAAAGTAATGCAGTGCCATCAAAGTGATGCTCACCAAACCAAAGGGAGGGCTACCGGATGACTTCTGCAAAATGACTGCTCTGTGACTGCCATTCAAGCCAGGTTATGCTTCCCCTTCACTCTCAAGCTTATGTTTGCAGACAGGAATGAAGAACAGGCCTGAGACACTTCTGTGGCAGCTTTAGTTAATTAGACAAGCCATGCCAGACCAGCGAAATGCCTCAGGCTCAACTGCACAGTGAAAAAGAACCTCAATATCCTGCCTGCATAAGCCAGCAAGGCAGGGGAGCACATAGCAACACGTGGTATTGCCAGTGCTGAACTAGAACAGCTGCATTGTCAGGATGCTGCATGCACTTGGCAAAATAGTTATTAACACAAACTGAGTTACAGCAATTGCTTTTCCCATGGAACACATCCATAAAAGGGGGCATCAATGGCTAATTCTGGAATTTGTGATTGCCCTGTATGTCAGGATATGTTGCTAAGTTACTCCTGTCAACGCTCTGGACATTCTCACAAATAAAGATAGCAGTAGTCTACCTACAGCTGCCTGACAGGTGTGTGTATTACTTATCCCAATACGAGGAATAAATAAATTACCCCCAAGCTGTCAGTGAGATACCATGCTAAGTGCAAACGTTGTCACCTCCTTGGTACCAGGTTCCATACTTTGCTGATTATATTTATTCTCACACAGGTCATCACAGCAAATGCCTTTTTCACTGAGTCTGGCCCTGTATGAACTATTCATCTGGCAGAGAAGCATTACACTTTTCAAAGATCATAAGAGTCAAAGAACAGAAACTGCAACAGAAACTATCTATCTGGGCTATGTCTATGAGTAGCTGCAACTCAGCTGTGATATGCCAAAGGGAGAGGGGCTAACCTGTGCTGGGACAATGCTTCACAAGGTGAGCAGAGCTGGCTAGATGTCCTTCACAAAAGTGTCCTGGTGACTTCCCAGCCGTGATTGAGAAATGAGATAATAATCTCTTCCATGAGCACTCATCAGATAACCAGCTACCCATTAGGTCGGGAACACGTAGTATCTCTGGAACAAAAAGGAGAGAAAAATATGATATAATGATAACACAAAAAGAACATTAAGCAGCACCTCTGTGCTTCAGACTTGGCTGAGGAGTCAAATACCCTTTACAGGTAGCTTTATGCTTCACAGTTGCTGCTACTAAGCACATTACAAAAATAATCTCTCTTGTTTTCTCTTCTCTCTTCACAGTCCCCAACCTCCACTTCTTAATGGGAGCGGGGAGATGTGGGCATAATATTATTTCCCTGCCAGTCCACACCATAGGTACCACTTATTTCTCCTGGATCATTTCTCATGGCTAGAAAGGTTCCTGCCTTTGTGCCTAGATGTATTTTGAGCTTTCAAGGAGTAAAGAGTGGGAGAAACAGGGCAAGTATAAGAAAAAGAGTTTATATAAGAAGTATAAGAAAACAAGTATATGATACAATTTGTTCCTCAACTAGTTGGCATAACTAGCTTTACTGCCTGTTTCCCATTCGTCAGCCTGGCAGAAAATCATGACATGAAGATTTTTGCTCTACCTTCACCATCGGCCATTGCATCAGTGAGAGTGCACTACACAGATGAGAGGCCAATATGCTCCTGACAGAGGAAAGAAGCAACCACTAACAGTTAATGACATTAACATTAATGTCACCTTGTCCCTCACCCTAGCTCTCAATGTGACTACTCTGCTCCTTTGCTTCCTACAGGTAATCTTAGATGATTTCTCCTGATTTGCAAGTATCCATAGTAAAGGAAAGGGGTGGGGGGGGAAGACATAGCGAAAAGGAGAACGTGTCAATTCAGAGCTTCAGCATCAACGAAGCTGAAGACTTCCTGGAGACATCAATGAAGCTTAGATCAGACTCACATAGAGGAGGGGTGACAGGCAGCCATTTATGTGTTTTCTCTGCATATTTCATACTTCCAGATGAGAGAGTAATGCTGTTCGGGATAAGAAAAGTCTGCCTGAACAAGGCAAGCAGAGCCCTGCACTCTTCAAAGCCAATAGAAAAGCTGAAAGGTATTGTTCCCATCAGCAAAAGATTTCTTATGCCCTCACCGCATGCTCTGTTCTCTGGGAATCATAATCTCTTTGGCTGAGAAGCAGAATTCAACCTATACCCCCAGATCTGGGGTTTGATAGCTGGGAGCAAAGAATCCAAAGCAGAGGGAGTAAGGGATGTTAGATTCAGGGTTAAGAAAGTTCTGGGTCTGCTTCCCAGCAGGAGGTACAGCAGCAAAAACTATGGTTATCTTTGAAATGCAGCTCAACCTGTATGCGTTCCTTGTACTCTTTATGGAGAAGGGATGGCTGAAAGTGTTGCTGCAGCACACAGGAAAGTCTGTCTTGGAGAAGCCAGCCTTAAAGCAGGCCTTAAAGGCAAGTACTTACCGAGCTATCAAAAAATAGTGCTTTTCTGTGCCAAACTGCACCAGAGAGAGACCTGCTGGAGACACCTCTCTCCTAGAATTGCCCTTACCAAGTAATGAAGATGAGACACCTTCTGAGACTGAAGTGGCAGGACAGCAGATGCAGGAACAACCTGCTAACAAATCACCAGCACAGTGTACCATGTACATCCAAGAGAACTTCAGGGCTTTAGGATGGAAGTGGCTGGACTGCTAAACCCATGAATTCTCTCATTAAAATCAACTGTTCTACTGGAGTAATGAAGGGTAGCAAATGCTGTAAGTTGTTCTAAAAAAGGCATATGGGTTCACAGACCACTGAGCTTTACTTTGAATCTGGTAAATTGATTGAATTATCAAGTAAAATTAGAATCACAGGAAAGGACTGGCACAAAGAACTGATTTAGTTTTGCTCCATGATCTTGCCCTATTTCCACTGCTTGTCACTACCTTGAATGTCCTGTTGATTCTTAAGTCTCCTGCTTAGATCATTCCTTGTTACTCTTCTGCATTAGCTATGTCCTACAGAAAAATGGCTTTTCATCCTTCCCCATTCCACCTAATTCTGTCCTGGGAAAAACTGCATAGGCCAGTATTTGTATTTATTCATGTAATATCTGTACTGCCATTGCAGGTACTCCCGAGAAAAGCAGCAATAGCAGAAATCATACCAAATGTCCTAGTGATCCAGCACTGGTACCTCCTCACTTGTCCCAGTCTTAACAGAGGAGAACTGCATATTCTAGGAGGCTAATCACTTAAAGTACTGTAAGCTGGGCTTTACCATGTGAAGAACATGTAGCATAAGAACGTTTTAAAAGAGTTTTCTACATGAACCCTTATATATTGGCTGATCCAGATGGAGTCTTAGGACTTCAGTTTCCTTGGCAAGACACACTGAAAAAAATGATCCAGATCCAGCAGGTGTCTTGGTTCTGTGGCTGGAAACTCTTTCCCTGGAAATAAGCAATCCCATCCAGCCATCCTCTCCCTACTAGTTCAGGATTTTTGGTGCTTCAGTATAAAATATTTACCTAATATCTCTTCATGCAGTCTGGTGTCTGGAAACACCACCCTGAAGAAGGCACCAAAGAATTATGCTGATCCTGTACTACTGTATCTATTTTGCATATTCATTTTTTAAGCACTTAATGTTTCTAACACCTCATTCTCTAAGCACCAAACGCCACTAAGCAGTGACGTTAAATGAACACATTAGACTAGAACTCATACTTATTACCCATATCACTTTGATCAAACTAACTTCAGTGTTTATTTGGTCACCACCATAGTTAAATTGTTATTATAATTCCACTCCACATTTTGTTAAGCATTCTGATTTAACAACTTCCATAACTGGCATGACTTTGTTTTCCTTTGTAACTAAGAAATGAGAGTTCCAGATTTTTTTTCTGAGTAGACCTTAGCTTCCATGTATCCACACGATGGCAATACAATTCACTTTCAAACTTTTAAGGTCTAGATTTCCCTGTTTGGATCTCTGAAAAATTTGAGCACCCTCTGCAAGGTCACCGCAATGTTCTCTTTTCACTTTAGTCCCAAATCCAAGTGGATTTATAAAGCTTATGGCCATTACGGCCTGGGAAGTGGAACATCTCTGTTCTTGCCTCTGAGTCACTGTGCACCTGATGCCTCACTAATCCCCAAGTGGTTTGGTGTGCCTCAGCACTGAACAGCTATAATTACTTCTGGAAGCCAGCTGCCAGTCAAGTGACAAAGAAGTCTGCAGAGCCATTTCCCCAGCCCACATCTCTGAGTGCGTGGACCATTTGAATACAATACTAAATAGAAGAAGACACAGGCAATATATTATCTTTGCAAAGCTGAGCTTGTCACATTTGTGGAATTAATATGGTGTGGCAGGAGATGTAAGGGCCACCTTCTCCATGGGGCTCCCACATCTGTGGAGCCAGACCACATGAGCACAACAATGGAGAGCCTAGCTTTACAAAACCACAAAGGTCCTGACATGAGATAGGCAACCAGCAGTACATTGCAAGTCCTCTGAGATAAGCACAGAGATGAAAAACTAATGACAGAAATGGGTGAAAACAGGTATTTCCTACTAAGTTTAAGCAAAACTTTTCTGGGTCTCACTCGAGCACTGTGCCAACAAACCTCTGAATTGTGTTGGAAGCGTTAAGACCACACTGTGCAGCAAGCCAGAAGCACCTGGGAGGCAAAGGGCACCTGCACCATTTAGGAGATGCTCTTTCTGGGACCTCTGGACAATATTACGTAAATGATTTTTATTTATTTAACCTCTTCAGTGATCCCTGCACTCTATGGACAAATGGGCACTGAGTGCCTGCTCCAAGGAACCCTGCAGCCTAAATTACAGGTAGGCAAGTCCCTGCTGCTGTTCAAAGAGGGTTACTTTCTGAGCACATTCCTTTTGCTATGGAAGAAAGGATACATTTAGGATGTAATAAAGAAGATAAAACAACTGCCGCCTTTGCTGAGAAAGCTGCAATACCAGCAGTATCACCATAGATTCAATTTTGTTCCTCCTCCTCTTCCTTCAAACAGAAGTTAAACTCACCCATTTCCTCCCTTGCACCCTTGCACACTCTCCTTAGAGAAAGAAGTGGCTCAGGACACTACCTCCAAATCAGAGGTTCACTCGGACACATCCTGCCAAAAAAAAATCCCAGTAGAAGCTGGAGGAAAACATGGAATCTTTTGCTGCTTTGGACAATTTGCAAGGTGGATTTTTTTATATACATGCGTGTGTATACACATAATATATACATATAATACATACATATATATTGTACACATGCATAATACAATACCCACGTATATTTAGGTCTGCATGGGTGCCAGCCAGCTCATGTATTCCCAAGACGGAGAGGTTCTGGTGGATGGCAGGGGGGAGCCTGACCAGGAAGGACTGTTCGAAGGAAGCCCGGGAGGCTTCACACTACATATCCCATTCAAGCTTGACCTTGGTGGAAAGCCCATTGACTGTTCAACACTGTCCACTCAGCCCAGAACTGTCCACAAGCAACTTCACAAGCAAAGACATGCAGCAAGCTTCTGTCTCTTCTCCTCCAAACCATAAGGTAGAGTCAGTGACCTTCTCTTCACCCCACATGAGAGTCCTCTTTGGGAAAGAGAGAGGCCATTTTAAGAAAGGGAAGGTATGTCCTGTGCTGGCACTGGGAATCCCACTGAGTGACAGGGAGCAGTTCTACAGCAATTGCTTTGTTTAAAATGCAAAATGTGAATGTGTTTAGAGGACATATCAGCATCAATCACTGTATGCAAATACTGCCTGTGGAGAAGAGTTTCCCCTGTAAGTCACTCCTCACTGCCCTAATCAAGTTAAGGCTAGTAACTGAGGGCATGTGGCATGCTGATGGGCCACTGATGGTGCTGTCCCAGGAGAAGATTAATAAAAGGCAGCAGAAGTGCTTAGCCCCAAGCAGGGAACAAAGTCAGAGGGGGAGCGGAGGGGGGAGGACAAGGGTGTCTTTCTGTCTAGCAGTCATTGCCCATTACCACAGACTAAAAAAGCAAAACCTTGCAACCCTCTTCCACAATCACCAGCAGGCTTACAGAGGAAGGTCAGCACAGATGACATG